CAGAAATTCTACTTCTAGATACATACTGAACAGTAATGCATATGTACATCCACCTAAAGACATAGGAGAACACGTATAGTGGAGCACTCTTCATATTAGCTCAAAACCAGAAACTAACCAAATGTCTTTTCAACAGAAAAATGGATCCTCTGTTATATTCACACAATACAAATCAAATACACTGTACGATATGAATTAATCTTACAATATCAAGTTGAAATATAGAAGTCAGACAGTAAAGAGTATATATGACAAAATTAGTATATGGTATTAAAAATSAAAAGAGGAATAGTAAGTGAGAAGAGATGAGGAAGCTTCTGCGGTACTGAAATATTCTATTTTTTGATCTGGATGCTGATTATTCGGTGTATTCCATTTGAAAAATTTCATCATTATTATACTTACGATCTATAAACCCTTATACATGTGTGTTAAGAATCAATTTAAAATATTAAGTTTTTATTTAGGCAATGAACTACAGAAATGAGAGATGAGAGACATTAATTTAATATTTGAGAAGCAAATATTTATCAATAAAGAAAGAACTTCATCCAACTTCCTTATGAGACTTAAAGAAATTCCCACAAGCTGAGGAAATTAATTTATATTTTATTGCTGACATACAAATAAAGGATTCCCTAACACAAGTCAAGCAATGCAACTGAAGGAAGAAAAGACAGCTAAACTTCTTAAGAGATGGAAAAAAATCCAAATAAGAGGTTACAAAAGTTAATCACAAACCTGACAAGACCATGACCCAGGCCATGTGCTTCAGTTTAATGACAAGTGTTTGTTCATTTATTTAATTTCTTTTTATTGTTGTTGAACATAAAATAATGGTGAGTTTTACAATTTGTATACACACACACACACACACACTATATATATATATACACACACACACACACAAATATATAAGTGTACGTGTATCCAAAACCTTATTGCCAATTGTAAAAGCTCACCATTATTTTGTGTGTGTGTGTGTAGTGTGTATACGTGTGTGTATGCTTTATATATATATATATATATATATATATATATGTGTGTGTGTGTGTGTATAAAACATACTACACATACACACATGCACACACAGTACATTATACATATTTTCTTGTTTGCAAAGTCCAAGGAAAGCATAATACAATGATTATGGGAATTATAAAAATGAAGCATACAAGGTCCTTGCTTTTATGAAGATTATTATATATAAAATAAGCAAAAACAAACATGCAGTTATTATATGGATTTAGAATGATACCAGTAGTTCAAGAAAAGTAAAAAGTACTTTAAAAAGGGGGGGATTTCTTTCTGCTAAGAATTATAATAAAGCTTTCAGAAGCATCTCCAATTGTGTTGTCTAATATAGTAGCTAAGGGCAACATGTGGCTATTTAACTCAAATAAACTTTAAAATTCAGTTCCAAAGTAAGACTCAACCACATTTCAAGTGTTCAATGGCCACACATGGTTAAGTGCCAACTGTACTCAGTGGTACACTGAACATTACCATCATTGTAGAAAGTTTTCTTGGATAATCATAATCTGAAGCACTTAAGAGTTAAAAAAGGGCCCAGAATAAGGACAGTTTATACAAACTTTGAGAGAAAATACTCTTATTAATTACTTTTAATACTTTCGAGTTCATTTTTCTATGTCTCCTTTGACATCAGAGTGGCAAAACAAGCTACTCTGGTTTGAGAATCAAGCTCAGGATATAAACCTAGGAAAAAAGTCTAAAAGTTACACGAGTGAAAAAGAATACTTATAAGTTCATCAGTGTCCAACTAAGTTTACCTATGCCTTTCTAGAAATAAAGTATTAAACTCTTCACCTAATCTTATGATACTTAATTGAGGATGTGAGGTTTTAGGATATTAATACATAGGGGTGAGTCAATAAATCTGTACTGTGGAAGAATTATTTTATTCAAGAAACGTTTGCTACACATCTTCTAAATGCCAAGTACAATAGTAATCATCAGAGATAAAAGCATTGAAACCACTAACTCTACCCAGCAAGTATCACAATAGCTGAAGATTTAAAAAATCCTAAACAGGGCCAGGTGTGATGGTGCAGGCCTATAATCTCAGCAGCTCGGGAGGCTGAGACAGGAGGATCAGGAGTTCAAAGCCAGCCTCAGCAAAAAGCGAGGCACTAAGCAATTCAGTGAGACTGTGTCTCTAAATAAAATACAAAAAATAGGGCTGGGGTTGTGGCTCAGTGGTGTAGCACTCGCCTAGCACGTACAAGGCCCTGGGTTCGATCCTCAGCACCATATAAAAATAAATAAAGGTATTGTGTCCAACTAAAACTAAAAAATAAATTTAAAAAAAAATAGGGCTGGGGATGTGGCTCAGTGGTCAAGTGCCCCTGAGTTAAATTCCCAGTACCACCCCACTCCCCAAAAAAATCCTAAACAGGAAAGAAATGGAATGAAAGGGAACAATGTGCTGTCCCTGGCTTATCCTGGGTATTGTTGACTACTGCAGGATTCAATGCCCATTAAACTGAACCAATCACAACAGTTTAGAAGAAAAGTAAGAAAAAAGAATTCCTTCAGAAAGAAAAAATAAAAATTTTGTAAAAATTTTTTAGATGTTGATGGACTTTTATTTTACTCATTTATTTATATGTGGTGCTGAGAATTGAACCCAGTGCCTCACACTTGCTAGGCAAGTGCTCTACCACTAAGCCACAGCCACAGCCCAAAAAAATAAAATGTACTGAACCTATATTAAGATATAAAAGCAAACAAGAGTCCTGGCCAAAAATATAATTCCAAAGAGTACCCTTAAAATAAATATCAACAAATCAACATTTATTGAACAACTACCCAACAGAGTAAGTACACTGGGAACACGGGACAAACAATGGCAGGCTTGGACCTCCAGAAGCTTTCACCTACTTTGGGAGAATGCTCATAAACAATTACAATGCAAGCAAATGTTATAAAGACTATACTCAGGAAACAATTACTATTCACAACAAACTGAGATGAAAGGGATTCTTAGTCTGATTCACTCCTTTGTCTTGGATCCATTCTATAATATCCTTCAAGTATTCAGGCTACATGTACCAGGAAGGCAGTTGTCACAACTTCACAGACAGTTTCAAAGCAACTGAATATAGAAACCAAAAGGAGTTCAAGATAGAAGTTAACAATCAGAGAGATGATGTTTAGAAACAAGAATTTGGAAATCAAATGAATATCAAATAAATATAATACTAATGAGGTAGAACAATATACCGACATACCACTTGGTATAGGATCAATTATGACACAAATCCAGGAGAAAAAACTGTAAGCCACTCCCAACTACAGAAATGTCTGGCCATGGGAAAAGGTATAGAAGAAATCAACAAAGCAAAATTCTATCCTATCTGGGCCTGAATCACCCCTAGGTCTCCACTGCAAAACTATCTCTATCCACCTGAGCCAAGACAGGAAAAATTAATAATTTATTCTACGTTAAGCATGGCAAGAGGCATTTATCATATGTCATTTAACATTTATAGAACCAGAGCTTCAGACTTCTCCAGAGACAGGCTCAAGGAACCTCTCTGCCCTAGGATCCAAATCTGTTATGATATTTTAGAGACATTTAGGAGACAGCTTGAGGAGGAACAAAGAGCAATAGAGTCCTAAAGACAGTAGTCTGGATTGGGGTTCTGGTCCTGAAGTTGTGTGTCTCTGCAAAAGTCACTGGGCCTCTCTGGCTATTGATTTCTTAAGATTTGTCCCATCTGCCCCATAGGCTGTTCTAAAGATGAAAATGGAGTAACATATGTACAAGGATTCTATAAATACAATGCATCACTGATATGCATTTATTCATTTAACAAGCAGTTAAGCATCTATTCTAGACTCCAGGGTTACAGTCATGAACAAGACTGGCAAGATCTTGAACAAATGGAACTTACATTGTAGTAGGTGAAAGGCAGTTAATAAACGCAAACAAATAAGTGAGTAATAGTGATAAATGCTACAAAGAAAACAGGGTGATATGAAAAATAAAGTGACTAGAGTAAAGAAGGAAATGGTCACAGGCCTTGCTGAAACCTCAAAGACCTCTTCATCCAAGCAAAGAGCTGAGGAAACAAGTGTATAAGGAACAACAGGTGAGGCATGTGTGAAGCACTGAAAGAAGGCAGGCTTGAACACAATGAGTGAAAAGAGTGTTCGAAGACGAGACTGAGAAAGTAAACATGAGCCAAACCCAGTATGGGCTTAGACCTCTAAAAAGATGTTTTCTTTTTCTTTCTCTACTTTTGTTTTTCCCCCTGGTACTAGGGATTGAACTCAGGGACACTTTATCATTGAAGTACATCTCCAGTTCTTTCTATTTTAAGACAGGGTCTCACTAAGTTGCTGAGACTTAGCATCAAATTTTTGAACCTCCTGCCTAAGCCTCCTGAGTTACTGGAATTACAGGCATGCATCACTTCACCTAGCCCTAAAAGGATATTTTCATTATCAAAAAGCTCTTCTTCTTTTTTTCAATACAGTGTAATAAATGAAGCATTTATGCAAATATCCAGCATATACATTATCAAACATAGGTCACCTCCAACTTTGTAACTGAGCAATGCCACAGCCAAGAAACAATATACCTTATACAAAGACCCTATGCAAAATACTCTTAAAAACCATACTAAACAAAGATAACATTTATTATGTTTGGCAAATCAAATAATAAAAACACTCTTTGAAGTAAGTGAAAGTTTCAGAAAAAGAATTTAAGTTTTTAACAAAGTTTCCAATAGAAAAAAAAATTAATTTAGTCAGTAAATATTTATCAAGCACCTACTATGTGCCAGGCATTTTTCTTAACAAGATAAAAGTGAGGAACAAATAAGTGATAATTTAATAATAATTGATTAAAGATTTGCCAAAGTATCATAATATGAGAACTGAGCCTCAACTTATTTTACATCTCTATGTTTTCTGAGGGAGGGGTTATATAGGCTTAATCATATGTACCTGTCAGAAAGCAAACTTACCAAGGAATTCTTAATCACTTCACTTCTATAAAATTCTGGAAAAGAAGAAAAAGAACAATAAGTGATATGAAAGAAAATAAGCTAATTAACTAACCCTTAATCTTGTATATTTTCAAACATATATTCTAGTAAAACATTTTAAACATGTTCAAGAAATAAAGATTAAATTAAAGTGCTTTAAAGGGGAAATATCACTTTTGAAGAAGGTTCAAATCTCAGGTTTAATTTAGTGATTATTGTCTAGCTCCTTTTACCACAGATTCTAACTTGAGCCCTTAAAATCTCAAACTTTCTTCTTCCTCCCCCCGCCCCCCACTACTACTCTCTATAGCTGATTCCATTTATCCTGTTCTACTCAAACATCTCTATAAGTCAAGCCAGGTGGCTCACTCCTATAATCCCAGCAATTTAAGAGGCTGAGGCAGGAGAATTGCAGGTTTGTGACCAGCCTCAGCAACTAAACAACACAGCAAGACCCTGTCTCAAATTTAAAAAATAAAATAAAAAGGGCTGGGGGTGGGCTGGGGATGTGGCTCAAGCGGTAGCGCGCTCGCCTGGCATGTGTGCGACCCGGGTTCGATCCTCAGCACCACATACCAACAAAGATGTTGTGTCCGCCGAGAACTAAAAATAAATATTAAAAATTCTCTCTCTCTCTCTCCTCTCTCACTCTCTCTTTAAAAAAAAAAAAAAGAAAGGGAGGCTTTAATTTAAACCTTTGTATATATTTTGAACCACAGACTGAATTATCTATTCAAAAATTAAATTTAGAAAAAAAAAAGATATGTATTAGCACATGCCAAGTATTGTTCCAGGTTTTAGGAACACAACAGTGAGCTAAGGTAAACTTTAAAATTTCTGCTCTCGTGGAGTTTACATTCTAGTGGAGGAGCCATATGTTACCAAATAACTGAACATACTGTATGCTGGATGAGCGTAAGTACTGTGGACAAAAATAACGCACAAAAGACAGGCAGGATAGTCACAATCTGCGAGAGGGTTAGTGGGTGATCAAGGAATTTCTCTGAGAAACAAGAGGAATAAAGACCTGCAGAAAGTTGAAAGGCTAGTAATGTGGCTACCTGGAGGAAAGAGCTTGGGGCAAATAAACAGCAAGATCAGGAGGGCAGGAGAGGAACACGAGAGGCAGCAGAGGGTCAAATCATGAGCCTTCAAGGAAACCACACGAGTTTTTGGCTTTTATTCTGAATGAAGGAGGAAGCCACTGGAGGAATTTGAGGAGAATATCACAATCTGATTTTCATTTTAATAGAATCTTAGTTGAGAACAGACTGAGGGGGAGACACAGACAGACAAACCTGTTACAAGAACACTTCAACAATTCAGGCAAGAGATGATGGTTTGGAGATTGCAAGAATCCATCTGATTAAGGCAACATATTAATAATAACAGCGAAAAGTACTTGTTAACAAATTGGATGTGGGATATAACAGAAAGATGACAATCCAGGATGATTCTAAGGTTTTTAGCAAGGAAATGGAGTTGCCATTTTTGTAATAGAAGAATGAATTCAGGATTAGAATTTCAGAAATTCATTTCTGAACATACCACTTGTTACAGTTTGGATCTGGAATGCCCCCCCAAAGGCTCATGTGTGGAAGGGTTGGTGACCAATGCAGCAATGTTCAGAGGTGGGGCTTTTGGGAAGTGATTGAAGGCTCTGACCTCTTCAATGAATTAATCCACTGATGAATTTATAGTTGAAAAGACTACTGGGAGATGGCGGAAACTGGAGGAGGTGGGACCTAGCTGAAGGTCATTGGGAATTACATCTTGCCTCCCCACCCCTCCACATCCACTTCTGCTTCTTGGCCATCACAGAGTGAAGAACATTGTTCCAACATTCTCTCCTGACCATGATGTTCTGCCTTACCACAAGTTCACAGAAATAAAGCCAACTATGAACTGAAATCTCTTAAACATAAGCAAAAATAAATCTTTCCTCCTTTAAGTGGTTTATCTCAGGTATTTGGTCACAGGAATGGAAAGGTGACACCAAGGTTAAGTTACTACTAGACTTCAAAGGGGGTTGTACAACTGGATATAGGAGTATGAGTTCAGAGGAAAGGTCAATAGATCATATTTAAATATGAAACTTGGATGAGATCATCAAATTAGATTGTATTGAGTTCTTCTTCAGATGTATTGCAGCTAGTTGGTATTCCAGGAGAAGACAGACACAGATATTTCACAACTGAGAAAATAACTGAATGAAAAACAAATTTGATGTTATAAAAATTTCAACTTTATGAGGGAAACAAAATTAGAACCTAGTTCCCCATCCATACAACAGGCTTTATTCTATGGGGATATAACAATTGGTATTTGATGGGAACTACCTTAACCGAAAATCTCCTACCAGCACTAAAAAGATATCAAAAGTCAAAAAAATTCACACATATGTTCTTGAGACCTGCTAAAATAAAAGAATACTTAGAAACCAGCATTTCAGATATTCTTCCAATAAAAAAATTTCTTGTAAAACTAAGAAATGATACCACTAAATAGGTAGTGCAAGTAGTTCAGTGAGAAGGGCCAACTGACCTTTCATCATAGTCATTTTACATCAAGGACCATATAATGATCATGAAATATTCATGTTTGTCATGACAGGTCCAGTAAGATAAGGTGACCTGCCAAGCATGGTGGCACATGCCTGTAATCCCAGCAGCTCGGGAGGATGAGGCAAGAGGACAGAGAGTTCAAAGCCAGCCTCAGCAATTTAGCAAGGCCCTAAGCAACTCAGCAAGACCTTGTCTCTAAATAAAACATAAAAAGGGCTGGAGAATGTGGCTCAGACAGTGCCTCTGGGCTCAATCCCTGGTACAAAAAAAAAAAAAAAAAAAAAAAAAAACACTAGGATTACTGAGAGAAAGCTTTACAAAGCCCAACAAAACTTATGAAGAGATTTCATTCAACCATGAGATTTCAGAGCAGAAGGAAGTCACAGAAATCCTCAGTTCTCTCATTTTAAGGATAAATTAAGTGAGGCTCATAAGGCTTCCAAGTGAGTGAAAGACTCAGTACTATTACGAGGCCTTAGAATTCCCTGTGATTTTTTCGCCACCTGTTCCCTAAACATGTTCATGATCATTTCGTTGAGATAACTTCAAAAAACAGCCTATGATAACATGTAAGTTCAAGATGTACTCTAAGCCAAAAGAGGAAAAAAAAAGTCATTTTGCTTTCATCTTTACATCATGGTCAACCAGTCCCATGACTACTCTCTTTTTAGAAACTATTATGATTAATATTACAAATTTAATAATTGCTATCATTTTCCAAATTCCTAAAATGTGCTTAGTACTACTAATTACTAGTATCAGAAGTAAAAGTGGAACAAGGACACAGTTTTAACAGCATAAGCAAGGACTGACTATACAAAAAAACATCAAAAATTAAAAATACTCCAATACTGTCTTATATCACTAGTGACAGAACCAATTAGTGAGCAGCTAACTAAATGTACTAAGGTCTACAAAAATGCCTTCACCTTAAACCACATATTGACCAAACTGTTACAATTCCCTTTTGAACACATAGGAAGATTACATTTCCCAGCTCCCTTTTCATCTAAAAAAGATGATGAACAAAAAATGAATAGAAAATAAAAAGAACAATTCATCTCATTTATGGCAGATAAAATGTAATGGAATTGATATGGACCATTTCCACTTAAAACTCTCCCACAGGCTAGGGTTGTAGCTCAGTGGTAGAGTGCTCACCTCGCATGTGGAAGGCACTAGGTTCGATCCTTAGCACTTCATAAAAATAAATAAGTAAAACAAAGGTACTGTGTCTAACTACAACTAAAATATATATTCATATATCTAAAAAATAATACTAAAATAAAATAAAGGTATTGTGTCCATCCACAACTTAAAAAATATTTATTTTAAAAAAAATCTTCCACAAGCAATCCTCTCTCTTTCTATGCCAGATGCCATATACTGAGGAGAGAAACATATGGAAATAGAAAGAACTTGCAAACAGTCACTACTTAGAGAAGAACTGATAAGAACACCTGCACTGGCATTAGTATAAGAAATTTATTATGTGAAACCATGAGTCTTTCGGTATTTGTTACAATTAGCTTTAATAGTTAGAATAAAAAATAAAGATCAAATCAAATTATATGAGAATATTACCATTTAGAGTCCTTTCTTTCCATCCTTAAAAAATTATTTTAATGCTATTTACTACTATGAGGGAGTTTTTACACTATACATTTCTTTTTCTTCTTTTTTTTTTTTTTTCATCTTTTGACACTAGGGGTTGAACCCAGGAGTATTTTACTACTAACCTTCATTCCCAATCCTTTTTTATATTTTTTATTTTGAGATAGGCTCTCACTAAATTGCTGAGATTGGCCTTGAATTTGTGATCCTCCTGCCTCAGACTTCCAAGTTGCTGGTATTTCAGGCCTGTGCCACTGTACATTTTGTGATTGAAATTTTTAATAAGCATATATAGATATTTTAAAAAAGAGAGATGAGCTGGGGATGTAGCTCGGTGGTAGAGTGCTTGCCTTGTACACGCAAGGCCTTGGCTCAATCTCTAAAACTAAAACTAAAAAAAAAAAAAAAAAAAAAAGATAAAAATTGTTATCCTGCTTTAAGGATAGGGATGTAGTTCAGTGGCAGGGCACTTCTGCATAGCATGCATGAGGCCCTGAGCTTGACACTCCAGCAGTGGCCAAAATATATATGTGTGTGTGTGTGTATTATATGTATATATAATATATTATATATATACATATATATCAACAATTATTCCTTTAATAAGGATGCCTTAGTAATTTTCAAAACTAAAAAGATAAAATGTCTCAATTTTTTCACCTTGCCATATGACAAGATTCAAATAGATCCTTAATATCACTTATTAAAATAATGTCACATTTTTAATTTTGGTACCAGGGATGGAACTCAAGGGCACTCAACCCCAGCCTTATTTTGTATTTTATTTAAAGACAGGGTCTCACTGAGTTGCTTAGGGCCTCGCTTTTGCAGAGGCTGGCTGTGTACTCATGATCCTCCTACCTCAGCCTCCCAAGCAGCTGGGATTACAGGGCATTCACCACCGCACTGGCTATAATGTCACCTTTTGTTAACATAAATGAATCTTTAATCACATCTTACCACACATTATTACATTATCTCTATTGATCTTCATACAAATCTCTCTTGCCTACCTCATAAGACATCATTTTCTTTACTTTGCAGGTAGGAAAAATAAGGTTCAAGAAACCATGATCTTGAGCCAAGTTAAGGAAGACACATGTTTGTAGTCCTGGCTACTTGGAAAGCTGAGGTAGGATGATCGCTTAGAGTCCATAAATTTGAGACCAGCCAGAGCCTCAAAAACYAAAACAAACCACCAAAAATAAAAAATAAAAAATATGATCTTCATCCAAAGTCATAAAGTTGCTGATCTATAGCTAGTGTTAATGTATTTTTCAGTCCTAACCTGCTATTCCCATTATTTTACCATGCTTCTTTTCTTACACCATCCCACTTAAGTCAACTGCTTTTATACAAGTGTCTTTTGTTTCAACATGTGTTCCAAAGATGATTGTGATTTTGAATTAAATATTTCATCTATTCTTAGAAATGTCACTTACGGAAGAATCCAAAATAACATACATGAAACAGAAGAAATATGACACTCTTCTGAAAAGGACCCCATTACAGAAGAAATTACAGGCATAAGAAGACACAAACATGGGGCTGGGGATATATATAGCTCAGTTAGTAGAGTGCTTACCTAGAATGCACAAGGCCCTGGGTGCAATCGGTGCAATCCCCAGCATCACCAAAAAAAGAAGACACAAACTAGATTTCTATTTTACCATAAGAGCAAAGAAAATGTTTAGTGGAATAACATACTCCATTTTAAATGCAGCTACTGGAATATTAACAGCTACATTCATAAAAGAATGACAAACTATCAGAAAGTTACCAGAAAGAACTATTAGCCATGCTTCTTTAATATGTATAATTGTTCAACATGACAGCATGACAATTGAACTTTCCAATAAGCAGCAATAACTGGAGGCACTAAAAAAATCACTTGTGCTACAAAAGAATAAAAATGAGATATAACAATCGATGAGTCCACAAATTCCCTTACCTTTATATATTTTTTCAGTATTACACAAGTGAAGTGTGAAGTAGGTATCAAGCAGTTGATGGCCATTTCTATTAACAATGTTCCGGGCCGCAATGTTTCGAAGATGCCGAAGACGCCGCTAAAAAGTAACAACAAAGAGAGACAGCATTCAGCTTTTTCACTCCTATATAATGTTCCAAAGCGACAGCTCAAAAATGAAATTATAACAGGTTGTCCCAGTCATTTATTTGTTGACCCAGCAACTGTAACCCCATCTTTCATTTATGCCTCGGCATCCCCTCTCAAATAGGAATTAGTCCTGCCCTATCTCATTTGCAGAATAGTTGTATAAAATGAGAGCAGATATGAATTTTTTTTGAAAAGCATAAGTGTCATATAAGTGCTATGCTCCTACAAAAGAACATCAGTACTCCCTAGAACGTAAACTAAGTAGTAGCTTGCTTTTGTTCTGCAGGATTCTGGTAAACATGAAAAGTCCATCTCAGAGCTGGGGTTGTGGCTTGGTGGTAGAGCACTTGACTGGTATGTGTGAGGCAAAGGCTTCAATTCTCAGCACCATATATAAATAAATTAAATAAAGGTCTATTATCAAGAGCTAAAAAAATATTTTAAAAGAAAGTCCATCTCATACCAAGAGAAAAATCAGCAGTTATTACAAACATACACCCCTGTTGCTAGTTTAGTCTAGCTGACAGATCATTTGTATAATTAGAAGAGGTCAGAGCCAAAAAATAAAATAATAAATCACTAGTCACTCCATCCAGCCAATAACTCTACTCTTCAGAGCTTAAATTCTGGCTTTACCAACAGCCAACCAGTCTCTATTTCCTAATCAAGCCCCCTTCTTAACAACTTCTCTAAACCCAGGCTTGAATTATTTGGAGTCTTAAGTATTAGAAACACAAAATCTCCATAAGCAATAGTAGAAATCAGTAAAAATACAAGATAACCTTAAGGGATAGATCAATCATTTCATATCAAAGAGAAAATGTCAGCAATTCTGAAATCTAGGCACTTCGGATCCATCCCCGAAAGCTAATTCCCTATGTCAGAGAATTCTCTTCAGAGACTTAAAAACAGAAACCAAGTGCTCAGTTTCAAAATGTGCTTACAGCTCTCCCTTCAGGCTGAAAGCCAGTCCATTCTCCTGAGGTGGTTCATCTTCAGTTACACAGGCAGACGGCCAGAAGGACCCAGCTCCTTTTCCATACACATACCAACTCAATCCTTTCTCCCAAACTAGAGATTAAGATTCTTTTAGAGAGGTTAATAAATTTGCTTAATCCTCTAAGTATGAAAAGCTCCAAATATATTTTCAAAAGTTTCCTAGGGCTTACTCTGAAAAACTAATTTTTGCACAATCTGCCCGGGATTTCCATTTCACACCCTGGATTACAATCATCATTTTCTCCTGCTGTACACTTTCCATTAGCCATTTCTATCAAAGTTTTAAATTTACAGGAACCACTAATCATCTATACACAATAATCACATTTAATTCACTGTATGACTGCAAAATGGGGCCTCGGTTCAAAGACCTGAAAAGATCACCCAAAGCCTTTGGAGTAAAGTACAAGCTTCCCATCATCGATATCAAAGCCTGTGCAGTCTGACTTCTAAGGATCCATCACACACACTTTCTCAGCTCTGTGCTTTCTGCTCTGGTAACCTCTCAATCTAGAATCCTGCCTTCTCTTTAAGGAGATTCTATTCATACTTCAATGTTTAAAGGACAGGATTCCTCCTTGATTCTCTAACTGAAATTCTTTGCTCCTTTACAGGAATAAGACCTTTGCTTATTCAATTCAGCCTTCTGGTAAAGTTAGTTGTTAATAATTATCTTCCCTATTTATCTAGCAGGAAAAGACTTGATGATAGAGATCATTACCAGCATGGTACTGTTAGCACTAATTAAATGTTTACCAGGTACCATGTACTGTGCCAAAAACTTCATACATGTGACCATTTAATCYTCATGTGACTGACCATTTAATCCTCCTAACTCTGTAAGATTAGGTATTACTTATTATCATTATTCATTTATTCATTCCAACAGTTTTGAGTAACTAAATATAAAAAAAAAAAAAAGAATGGGCTGGGGATGTGGCTCAAGTGGTGGCGCGCTTGCCTAGCATGCGTGAGGCACTGGGTTCRATTTTCAACACCACATAAAAATAAAATAAAGATATTGTGTCCACCTAAAACTAAAAAATAAATATTAAAAAAAAACAATAAATAATAAATAAATGAGAGGAAAAGAAAGAAATAAGGAAAGAAAGCTAGGGGATTATACCTATATTACATGAGCATTTATCTCTATATATTGTATTTATACACCTGACGGATACAATTTGGTCTTTATACTCCCCTATTACTATAGAAGACAGAGCAGTTAAGAGAGTCATTTTATGATAAATGCAATCATAATGGAATTAACTGTCTTGCAAAGCAGTATGTAGGAAGCTGAAATCTGTAGTGCAGTAGGCATTGTTAAAGAGTCTCTCCGATACATAGGAAGTAAGTACAACCACCTCCAAGCACTTTCTGACTCCAAGGTTAGGATTCTCCTCTGAGTGGATTACCAATTTAAATCTACCAACGCAGATAAAACAGAACTGACTACATAAGGGCATTTTACAAGAAGGTTTACAAAAAACAAAAACCCCTCCACAAATAAACCAACTCTACTAAAAACACTGACTTTGGATTGTATGACTCTGTATTTTCCTTTATTTACTTATTTCAAAAACATTAGAGTACGTATTCTCATTACATTGTAATTAATTAAAATACAAGATGCTCTCAGCCACTTGATTGAATAAAGGAATCTTGGTAAAAGGCTGTACATGTAAACATGAGCCCTCTTGTGCCCTATATCTTGGCTTCTTCTTTGATAACATCTATTACAATTTTATCATCAAGTCACTTTTTATTTTTAAAAACTACTAACATAGAATAAAAGATAACTGAAACAAGATTACTTCATCTAGTTATTATTATCAGTTACAAATAATTTTTAGAACCAAAACATTCTTCAGTTTATTGTTCTTTGCAGGAACTTTCAAAATGACCTTGCTTGAAGTAGGTAAATGTTGAGAAGAGTTAAAATGAAAATAAATACATTAGGATCAAGGAAAGATAAAATGGAACAGATAAGGGCTGGGGCTGTAGCTCAGTGGTAGAGCGCTTGTCCAGCACATGTGAAGTACTAGGTTCAATCCTATTGTGTCAATCTACAAATATWTTTTTTTTTAAAGGAGCAGATAAAGGGCTAGGGATGTGGCTCAAGTGGTAGCACATTCGCCTAGCATGCGTGAGGCACTGGGTTCAATCCTCAGCACCACATAAAAATAAAATAAAAATATTGTGTCCACCTAAAACTAAAAAATAAATATTTTTTTTAAAAAGGAACAGATAAGCCAAGCAGGATGAGAAAAAAAAAATGTAGAGGAAAGAAAAGGGTACTGAGGTGGTGAAGAGATAGTAGTCTACCTGAAGACTAACAACTCCAGGGGCAGAACTTCAAGATAGTTCACATAATTCAACCAACACTGCCAGATACTAAGACTCGTTTATATCTTTCTTTGTTTCTAGTTAAATTATTTTTTATATATAAACATTATTTACATAAATATGCATACTTGGATCAAGACCCAAAAAATACTGAATTTAAACTGGGAATGTAGCTCAGTGACMCAGCATTTGCCTAACATGCCCAAGGCACTGGATTTGATTCCAAAGCACTAATTAACATAAAAAATTTAAAAACTTAAATTAAAAAAATTGTTTGAGCAGCCAAAGAAGAAATTCTTAGGTGCAAATATAACAAAATGTGTATAAGATCAATATGAGAAAACTAAAATTCTGATGAAAACTATCAAAGAAGATCTTAATACATAGAGGAATATTCCAAGTACATTAAGAGGTTTAAAAAAAAAACAATAACCAATACAATATCAAGAAAAACAAAGTAAAAGAACTGACACTACTATAAAGTTACAGTATTCAAGAAAGTGTGGTACTGGCAAAAGAAGAAAAAAAGAGAACAGAATAGAGAGCCTCGACACAGACCCATACTAATAGTCAACTGTTTTTTGATGAAGGCTCAAAGGCAATTAATTCATTGAAGAAAGTCTATTCAACAAAAGGTGATGAAATTGGACATATACGTACAAGGCAAAAAATAAATTGAGACATAGATCTAAACCTTATACCTTTTACAAATCTTAACTAAAAATAGATTATAGAGTTCAATGTAAAATACAAAACTATAAAATTCCTAGAAGATAACTAAGAGGAAAATATAGGTGACCTTGGGTTTGGCAATGACTTTCAGATACAATGTCAAAAGCATTCACCTGTGAAAGAAGTAACTGATAAACTTATACTTTTCCTTAAGTGATCTGGAATCCTTAATGGAATCTGATGCCCATCTACCAAACGGTAGAACACAGAGCACTTCAAATCTAAGAACTGATCTAAGAACTGAAATTGGGGTCAAGCCTCAAAAGTCTTCTGGAATAGCACAAATCCTCAGGACTCACATACATTTTGGGTACTCCAGAGTATAAAGTCTAGTGGTACTTCATGGGCTGGCAGCAGTATCTATCAAACACACTGCTTGTGATTGTCTCTAAATAGAATTAAATACCAGGTCATCTCTTCCAATGGTCTATTCATAGACATTAAAACCAAACTGCAATGTGTTCTAAAATCATGGCATTTGCAGGTAAATAGATGGAGTTAGAGAAGATAATGCTAAGTGAAGTTAGCCAATCCCAAATAACCAAATGCAGATTGTTTTCTTTGATATAAGAAGGCTGATTCATAATGTGTTAGGGAGCAGGAAAATGGGAGGAACTCTAGATAGGGCAGAGGGGGGGAAGGGAGGGGGCATGGGGTTAGAAATGATGGTGGAATGTGATGATCATTATTATCCAAAGTACATGTATGAAGACCTAAATTGGTGTGAATATACTTTGTATACAACCAGAGATATGAAAAATTGTGCTTTATATGTGTAATAAGAATTGTAATGCATTCCACTCTCATATATAAATTAAAAAATAAATAAATAGTTTCAATATCTCATGAAGGTAGAAACATTCTGAATAATCA